CACCCGCCCTGGGCACATGGGGATGGGTGGGAGGCCGCAGCTCCAGAACTGGGGGGAGCGGGCCAGGCAGGAAGTTGGCAGAGACTGGTGCCCCCGCATTATCAAAATTACATGTATTCAATGTATGAAGTGTATAACCTGCTACCATTGCCTTTTTTTTTTTTTTTTTTTTTTTTAGCTTTTTGTCTTTTTCTTTAGAAAAAGGCTCTGTCCATGTCCCTGGCTGGCATCCACCCCCCTGTGCCCGCCTAGAGGCGGGGTATGGCTTTGATGGGAGCAGAAGCCCCTGGCGCCCATTTGCCAAGGGATGGGGAGGGAGGGAGGGAGGAAGGCTCGAGGCCGACTGGGCCCACCGACCCACACGGCAGACGTTCCACTGGCACAGAGGACAGGCGGCCTGTCCCCCTCTCGGGCCTCTCTGTCTCCTGCTCCCACCACGGGGCATGAAGGGGGTGGGGAGGGGAGGAATCCAAGAGGCAGATGGGCAAGCACCACCCAGAGGTCCAGGTGAGCCAGAGCTGGCTTAGGTGAGGGTGATGTAGGCAGACGCCTTCTCTTTTAGGTGCCGAAGACAGAGGTGACAGCTCCAGCTTCCTGCGTGGTGGCCGGAGGACAGGGAGTTAGGTCCAGGTCCCCTCCATAAAGGCTTCCATGGCCAGAAGACAACTTTCCAACCCCCCCCCCGCCCCCACCACGTGCCCACCTCTTCTCTCACCTTCCGGGGGCTCCGCCATGGGGGGGCTCAGGCAGTACATGTGGTAACCCCGATCGCAGTCGTCACAAAACAGCAGCTGGTCCTGGGGGGTGAGACCCGCCCAGCTGGCACCCTGGGGGCATGGCACCAGAAACCGGGGTGGGGGGCAGGGGCTAGGTAAAAGGGGCTGGGGGGTCCCCTTCAAGAGAAGGGGCTTCAAGAAAGTCTGTGCATCATGGCATCTTTGTAAAGCCCCCACTTGGCCAAGCAGAGACACCCCTGAGGACCGCCAGTTTGCAAACGGGGAGTCGGGGTTTTGTAAGATTTTGTGTAGCACTTAAAATGACTCTCAGACGGTCTGACACCGGCTCTAGAAGCAGCTGGCGTGGGTTCTGATCCCAGCTCTACCATGTTCCCGGGGTGGGGGGGGACCTTGGGCGGGTAGCTGCCCCTCTCTGAGCTCGGTGTCTTCTCTGTGAAGTGGGAACAAGGGCACCTACCTCAGAGGGTGGTTGGGAGAAGTCAGAGAGATGAGGACCCTGATAACACGCGTTACTAGCGTTCGCCACGCAGGTTCTCCAGGGAAGGACTGGGGCTCGGCTGGCAAGGGTGGCGGGGCCAGGTGGGGGGCACGGCTGGGAGACGGGGGTGGGCAGACGGACACTCACGTCGTTCTCCGAGGTGCCGCACAGGCTGCAGGACTTGCATTCGATGCACTGCCAGCGGTAGGTCCGCACGGCTGCCGTCATGTTCACCGTGAACTGTAAACACGAGGGGTGTCCTGGGGGCCGAAGGGCAGGGGTGCGGTTAGCAAGTCGTCATGCCCCTGCAGGAGAAAGTGCCCAGCCCTCACCGCTGGCTCCTAAGGCCGAGACGAACTTCCGGGAACCATGCCTGACCTCACACCTCAAGTCCACAAGGCCACAGCCACGCCCCAAACTGCAGTGCTGTGGCCACCCCAGCCCCCAACCCAGACACATTTCAACCACACTCTGCTCCCCAGAATACCATAGCAACCGCATGCCATTACCATAACGCCGTGGCAACCACGGTCTACCACCCACGGTACCGTGGCAACCACATTCTGTTAACCACCGTGCTGAGGTAGCCACATTCCGTTACCCACAGGAGAATGGCAGGCAGATCCTGCTAACCACAGTAACCCGGCCACCACGTCCTCCCAGGCGTGATGC